CTGGGATTACAGGCACGCACCACCATGCCCAGCTAATTTTTTGTATTTTTAGTAGAGACGGGGTTTCACCATGTTGACCAGGATGGTCTCGATCTCTTGACCTCGTGATCCGCCCACCTCGGCCTCCCAAAGTGCTGGGATTACAGGCTTGAGCCACCGCGCCCGGCCTGAATCTCTAATTTCTAAGGTAACATTTTAGATTTTAGCCCTCCCTCTTTTTTTTTTTTTTTTTTTTTTTTTGTTTTTTTTTTTTTTTTTGTTTTTCCTATTTATATTCTATTGTTGATGGGCAAGCCCTTGTTCAGTTAATCTTGAGTGTCTAGAAAAATATGTCATGCAGTTTTTTTTTTTTTTTTTTTTACAACTTTTGCCCATATTTAATGCCTCTTACAATCACTGTTCCTAAAGTAATATTCTGCACCTGCTTCAACCTCTCTTCCCTACTCCATGGTGCTATGAAGAAGACAGACATTATTTCAATTTCATAAATAAATATTTTATGAAAAAAAGAAACATTACTATAATAATCTAGATCATAAATCATAAGAAAAGATCACATCTATAAATGTTTTATTTCATCTTTCTCCCAATAAGTAAAAACCACCAGACCACAAAAAGAAACTTTCAAGTGTTTGACTTAAGAATGAAAATTCCTGGCCGGTTATGGTGGCTCATGCCTATAATCCCAGCACTTTGGTAGGCCAAGGTGGGTGGATTAATGGAGGTCAGGAGTTCAGCCTGGACAACATGGTGAAACCCTGTCTCTACTAAAAATACAAAATAAGATGCGTGTGGTGGCGTGCGCCTGTAATCTCAGCTACTTGGGAGGCCGAGGCAGAAGAATCGCTTGAACCCAGGAGGCAGAGGTTGCAGTGAGTTGAAATTGCATGATTTCACTCTAGCCTGGACAAAAAGGGTGAAACTGGCTGGCGCAGTGGCTCACACCTGTAATCCCAGCACTTTGGGAAGTTGAGGAGGGCAGATCACGAGGTCACGAGATTGTGATCAGCCTGGCCAACATGGTGAAACCCCGTCTCTACTAAAAATACAAAAATTAGCTCGGTGTGGTGGCACAAGCCTGTAGTCCCAGCTACTCAGGAGGCTGAGGCAGGGAAATCACTTGAACCTGGGAGGTGGAGGTTGCAGTGAGCCGAGATTGTGCCACTGCACTCTAGCCTGGTGACAGAGCGAGATTCCATATCAACAACAACAGCAACAACAAAAGAATTAAAATTCCTTTTCTTGAATATACAAATATAATTTTAAAATTCCTTAAAAGATCCTTGACGAATGACAGCATTGCTCCAGGCCCAACACAAAGCTTTATTAATTGTCAACGAACATAGATTAGTGGTATTTTCTCTAGGACATTATTTGAAGCTTTATACAGACCTCTGGGAAGTCCCGGAGGACTTCAGACATCTCATTTCCTCTTTCACCACATCCTACATAGATGATTACATCACTGTTAGAATACTTGGATAGAGACTGTGATATCACTGTCTTTCCACAGCCAAAGGCTCCAGGGATAGCAGTAGTTCCTCCCTGGACACACCTAAACAAAGAAAACAAAGTATGGATTACTTGACTTGCTAATAGATGTTAATAAATAAAGTAGGTAAGGAACACAAAAACACAAACTAAAGAAAGCACTATGAAACATATTCCATAAACTGGAGAAGAGGGGTATATGAAAATAATAAGATTAAAAAAGGCTTGGCACAGAGGCTTATGCCTGTAATCCCAATGCTTTGGGAGACTGAGGTGGGAGGGCTGCCTGAGCCCAGGAGTTCAAGACCAGTGTGGGCAAAAGGGCAAGACCCAGTCTCTACAAAAAATTTTAGAAATTAGAAGGGCATGGTGGTGCATGCCTATGGTCTAGCTATTCAGAAGGCTGGGGCAGGAGGACAACTGGAGCCCTGGAGTTTGAGATTACAGTCAACTATGATCTAGCCATTGTATTCCAGCCTAGGCCAGAGTGATAACCTGTTTCTTAAAAAGAGAGAGAGAGAGAGAGAGAAAGAGAGAGATAGGAGATGGTTTATGGTTTTTAAGCAGTCGTAGAAAATGGAAAGAGCAGACAACAAATTAAGAAAGACTGCTGGGCAACAGAGAGAGCCCAGTTGATTTTATTTAGGTCAGTGAAAAAATAATTGCAGCTTTTGTCATTTCCTCCCCCTACCCGCTCCCCAAGATGGAGTCTCGCTCTGTCGCCCACACTGGAGTGCAATGGCATGATCTTGGCTAACTGCAACCTCTGCTCCCTGAGGTTCAAGCAATTCTCCTGCCTCAGCCTCCTGAGTAGCTGGAATTACAGGTGTGTGCCACCACATCTGGCTCATTTTTTTTGCATTTTTAGTAGAGACAGGGTTTCACCATATTGGCCAGACTGGTCTAGAAATCCTGACCTTGTGATCCACCCGCCTTGGCCTCCCAAAGTGCTGGGATTACAGGTTTCAGCCACCACGCCCAGCCCTTTGTTATTACTTGTAATAGAAATCATCAATTTATGGTGACATAAATCTACTAATTGTTTTTAAAAAGTTATACCACAATTCTTTATTTTTAAAAAGTTATACAAGCAAATAAATTAAATACATACTTTATGCTGGGAAATCTATTCCTGGTTTATTGAGTGACATAATAAATTGCTTGGTAATAATATATACTTAAATCATTTGAACTTTGTACATCACAAAATCAGCTTATCATAAAATTATACAATTGGTTACAGAGGGGCTTAAGCCAAAAATAGGCATCAGTCGAAAGCTACAGATAATTGGAGTATTTACTTCTTTGTCATTAAATAGGGCATTTTCCAAGTGCTCTGTCATCTGAATTATTTAATAATTTTAAATCAAGGAGTAGATACAGCATCAAACTTAAAGTTGGGTATCCAAGTTGCTTGCCTCTAAGTTTGATTTATCCCAGGTATGGAGTTTGGGACTAAATCAATCCCCTGGATTCCGTGATGACTACAGATATTTCCTTCATCAAAAAAGAGATTAAAGCCTTGTTTCTTCAGAGCTGTGAGTACACTACAGCACTTATAAGCACATTCTGTACTATTTTCTTACCCTCTTCCAAATGTTATCCCAGTTATTTAACTGTGGCTTCTGTCTTGGCTCCCAGTCTAGAATAACTTAAGAAACATGGTGGCCAGTTGCGGTAGCTCACGCCTGTAATCCTTGCACTTTGGGAAGTCAAGGCAGGTAGATCACTTGAGCTCAGGAGTTTAAGATCAGCCTAAGCAACATAGTCAAACCCGGTCTCTACCAAAAATACAAAAAATTAGCCAGGTGTGGTAGTGCATGCCTGTCCCAGCTACTTGGGAGGGTGAGATAGGAGGATTGCTTGAGCCTGGGAGGCGGAGGTTACAATGAGCTGAGATCACCCCACTGCACTCCAACCTGGGCGACAGAGTGAGAGCCTGTCTCAATTAAAAACAAAAACAAAAGAAACACAGTTACGTTGTTTTGGTACAGTGTTTCTTCAGAAAATTTTATTTTTTCAGAAAAGTTTCACAAATAATACTTTCTGTGGGTAACGATGAAAAAAGTCTTTAATGGTTTGAATTTATAATAAGCGCTAGCAAAAGACAAATATATTTAATTCACCATTATTACTCCAGATAAAATGTATTACCCTTTATCTACAAAGATAATAAAAACATAAGCACATATAATAACTCTAAGGAAAAGTGTGAGACATCTCAAACTTACGGAAAAAGGGCATCAAGGACTCTCTGGCCAGTCAACAGAGGATGATTGGCTGGCAGCTTCTCAGTGACAGGTCGAACTTGCCGTACAGGCCATACTTGCACCATGGTGAACTTCTCCTTTACACCTTCAAATTCGAGCTCCAAGACAACATCCTATAAAAGTACAGCAAGATTTGGTATGGTCAAATTTGTGAACATTTCTTTCTTCAATATCAAAGTAACCCAATTCTTCTTGGGGGTAGGAATGTAAGTGTGAAGAGAGATTTATACTCTTTATTATAATTATTATCGATAGTCCTAGTTTTTTTTTTAACCTGGTATATTTATTACTTTTTCAATAATTAAAAACAAAATTTCTGAGTTTTTTTAGAATGGAGTATATCAGGTTTGTGACTGTAATCCCAACTACTCAGAAAACTGAGGCAGGAGGATTGCTTGAGCCCAGCAGTTCCAGCACCCTGGGCAACATAGTGACACCTCATCTCTTAAAAAAAACGAAAAGAAAGAAAGAAGTATATTAAGCAACAAAGAAATAGCTGAATAAATTATATGTAAATGCTTGGGGAGAAATTTTTATTTGTTTGTTTAGAGCGAATTTCACTCTGTTGCAGAGGCTGAAATGAAGTGGCACAATCTCAGTTCACTGCAACCTCTGCCTCCCAGGTTCAAGTGAGTCTCATGCCTCAGCCTCCCAAGTAGCTGGGATTACAGGCACCCGCCATCATGCCCAGTTAATTTTTGTATTTTTTAGTAGAGATGGGGTTTCACCATATTGGCCAGGTTGGTCTTGAACTCCTGTCCTCAGGTGGTCCGCCTGCCTCGGCCTCCCAAAGTACTGGGATTACGGGTGTGAGCCACCACACCCAGCCCAGGAGAAATCTTAAAGAATACAAAATAAGATGTTTCAGGGAGAGGGAGAGAGGAGAGGTGAATGCCTTTGTAATTTATTTTCCTCTTTTGTTTTGTTTACATTATTATAATGATTTTATACTGCTTTAATGAAAAATACCTATCTGTGAAGGACCCTAAAATGTTTAAGAAAATTGAATATGGCCAGGCACAGTGGCTCATGCCTGTAATCCCAGCACTTTGGGAAGCCGACGGGGGCGGATCATGAGGTCAGGAACTGGAGACCAGCCTGACCAACATGGCAAAACCATGTCTCTACTAAAAATACAAAAAACCAAATTAGCCAGGTGTGGTGGTGGGCACCTGTAATCCCAGCTACTTGGGAGTCTGAGGCAGGAGAATCACTTGAACCCGGGAGGTGGAGGTTGTAGTGAGCTGAGATTGTGCCATTGCACCCCAGCCTGGGTGACAGAGCGAGACTCCGTCCCCACTTCCCCAAAAACAGAAAGTTGAATATTTCTAAATATTTATTTGTTTATTTATTACATTGCCCATAAGCCCAAGGAATAAATATTTAAATTAAATATGTATAAAAGCAAAAAGGTAATGAGTAATACAATAACATTTGTGAACATTGAAATGGTTTCAACCATTTGCAAACAGCTCCAACGTCCAGAGCCCTATAGAAATCTCTAATTTTGTTGATATATGAATTCAAATCCTCCACTGGGAGCAAGTCTCTAAGCTAGTGTGCGAGTCTAGTTGATTGCCCCAAATCCCAATCTTAACTCTTATTTTCTATATCTTATGGAGCACAGCCTTACTCTTTTTTTTTTTTTTTTTCCTGTTTATTTTATTGCATTTTAGGTTTTGGGGTACATGTGAAGAACATGCAAAATTGTTGCATAGGAACACACGTGGCAGTGTGATTTGCTGCCTTCCCCCCATCACCTACATCTGGCATTTCTCCCCTTGCTATCTCTCCCCAGCTTCCCACCCCCCCCCCTCCCCCCCCTATTTCCCCCCAACTGACCCCAGTGTGTAGTGCTCCCCTCCCTGTGTCCATGTGTTCTCATTGTTCAACACCCGCCTGTGAGTGAGAACATGCGGTGTTTGATCTTCTGCTCTTCTGGAGCACAGCCTTACTCTTATGATTAAAAAAACTGTTATTTCTTATCATATTTTATTGGAAGAAAATTATATGCTATGATAGTCTTTTCAATAAATTTATCTTCATGCCCATAAAGATTATGGGCCTATTGTATTTGGTATTATGTGACTGTAAATAACATTAAAGATCAAAGTTTTAATTCAAGGCCAGGCATGGTAGCTTACACCTGTGATCCCAGCACTTTTGGGAGGCTGAGGCATAAGGATCACTTGAGTATAGAAGTTCAAGACTAGCCTGGGCAACAGAGTGAGACCCTGTCTCTAAAAAAAAAAAAATTTTTAATTAGCTGGGCATGGTGGCATGTGCCTCAGGTCCCAGGTACTCGGGAGGCTGAGGTGAGATAATTGCTTGAGCCCAGCAGGTTGAGGCTGTGGTTATGCACCATTGCATTCCAGCCTCAGCAGCACAGGAAGACCCTGTCCCCCCACCCAAAAAAAGAATTCAAAGGCTCCATTACGTAATTATTATGTGAATATTGATATACCATTAAAATCAAAGTCTACTCTATGCCTAAACAATCAGGGGTTTAAATAAATGTAGCATCAATTAAGACAATAGAAAAGTGTTACAATTCTTTAAAAAGAAACAATATATTCTGCTTTTTTATCCCTAAATCCAAGTTAAAAACAAAAAAGACCCTTCAAAAATTATAGGAGTTACTCAAAACCTATATATTAAATATCAATTCTTTAATTACTTAGGGCACTAAAACTGGGCAACGATCATATAAAAATAGGGCCACTCTGCAGGATAAAGTTTAAATGATACTTACAGAGGTATCATAATTCCCAGGTGGAGCAATGTAAGTTACAGTTCCTCTGTTTCGTGGGGGTAACATGATTTTGTGTTTGATAAGCGAGTTCTCATTGACAATTCCATAAATATCTCCGCCAGTGATATGACTACCAATCTAGAAAATAAAGGTAGTTGCTGTTTAATTTTCAAACAGATGTCAAGTAGAACTTGCCCCTGTTGCTATAATTTAAACCATTTGCCGGATTTATCAATAAAACATTAGTTCTAAAATCTCATGAAGTAGAGTTAAGAAAAAATGTAAACCATCCTTCTGTATTCCGTTTTTATTTGGACTAAGAGTACAACATAGTTCACTAAACATTCATTTTTACATTCTTTCAATAACTTCAGAAATTCTTGGTTACACACATACCCGTAGGTTTTTGGAAGGTGTAAAGTCCCATTTGATATCTCTGCTAAGAGCAGACACATTTACTCCTCTGGGGATGTAGATGCTTTGGGTCTGACTGCTGATATCCGACAAAGGTCTTTGAATACCATCAAAAATGGCTCCCATAATGCCAGGACCAAGCTCAACAGAGAGGGGTTTACCAGTGCGAAGTACAGGATCTCCAACAGACACACCAGCTAAAAACAGCAGCTAAGGAAAACCCACTATAAATGTTTAAAGACGCTATTAACAGGAAATACCACAGTTTAACAAGGAAATGACACTCAAGAAGTGAAAACAGAAGTTCCCAAACTTTCTCAGTTCACAGCATTAGTAGTGTTTCACTAATTTTTTCAGTGTCCCAGCACAAAAGATATATCTAACAGTTCCATTTATTAAATAGTTATGTCTAAATAACCTACTATGCATATATGTCCTAACTACTGAGTAGCAATCTGAAAAAATATGTGCATAAGTTGAAAGAAAAAAGAACATTAATTTCAGTCCTAAATATCCGTAATTCTTATGAATGTATATGCCTTTGGGGAACTATATAATTTTCCAAACTTGCAATCGATTGGAAACCTGTTCCATTTTGATTTTCACGTTACTTGCTTTTGTAGCTTAGCAACTGCCAAAATCTCCGCTTTGCAAAGATATAACATAATTGACAAAAATATAGTACAGCAACATAATGAAGCTGTTTATTATCTCAAGTTACTACTTCATGTGGTGTCTGATAATATGTCTAACATTCCTGTGTTTGCCCCAAAAATTAAAATATTCCGGTATCACATGAGTTTGCTGTAGCTTCCCAGAGTGCCTCTGCAAAGTTTAGGAACCACAGGGGTAAAAACAGAAGCTAAACCCTCTTGCTAATACACTGCTTCACATATACTGCTGAGGAATATCAGTCCCCTAATAAGGGTATTAGTACTTGGACAAAACCTAAAATCTTAAGAATAAAGTTATTTTGAAAACATACAAATAGGGAGAATAAAACATAAATAAGCATAATGAGTCCACTTTGTTCTCACACATTTGTTGACAGCAGTAAAATCAGTACAACTTTTACTGAGAGCAATTTAGCAATATTTATCAAAATTCAAAATGGATGTCTTGACCTAGGAATCCAACTTCTGTGAATTCTTACTATAATTACACTGTAGCACTTTGTAACAACCAAAGACTAGAAACCAAAACTTCTATCATTAAGTGATTATTTAAGTAAATAAATAACGGTAAATTTATATGATGGAATTATTATATGGCTGTAAAACAAAAAACCAGCGTTACCATGCCATGAATTCTTCTAGAAAGATCTCTAAACTATGTATTTTCTTTTCTTTTTTTTTTGAGATGGGGTTTTGCTCTCCTTGCCCAGGCTGGAGTGCAATGGCGTGATCTTGGCTTACCGCAACCTCCGCCTCCTGGATTCAAGCGATTCTCCTGCCTCAGCCTCCCGAGTAGCTGGGATTACAGGCATGTGCCACCATGCCCAGCTAATTTTGTATTTTTAGTAGAGATGGGGTTTCTACATGTTGATCAGGCTCATCTCGAACTCCTGACCTCAGGTGATCCACTCACCTCGGCTTCCCAAAGCGCTCGGAGCGCCCAGCCCCTAAACTATGTATTTTCATTTCAAATTTTGATTATGAAAATTTTCAGAACAACAAAGTTGAAAGAATTTTACAGTAGACTCTCCATCTCTAACAGCTATATTCTACCTTTAACATTTTACTATATTTATTACATATCTATTTATTTTCTATAATACATATACTTTTAAGTGAAAAAAGCAAGGTATATAACAGTACATATAATATGCTATCCTTTGGGAAAAAGGAAAGAAAAATACAAATATTTGTATTTGCTCATGTATGTAATTACTAAACTAGAAGAATATACAATAAAGGGAACTATGAAAGTGGTTGCATATGTGCATGGAGGTGTGTATGTGTTTTGATAAATGGCCACATACAAGACAACAAAGGCAAGGAGGGTTGTGACTATATTTTCATTTATTTTAAATCTTCAAATCATGTGAAAGATTAAACAAAAGATAAAAGTAATAATAGAAAAAAATATTTTTGATTAGTCATGATTTCATAGCTACAAAAACTTCGATTGTTATTTAAAATTTTTGGATGATTTTGTTTTAAATTGGTACCCAGTACTACAGAGAGATTAGTTATCTGCATGCATGTGTTTTAGAATGGCAAAAAATGTTGTACCAAATAAATCTTAATTAAATACTCAAAGAATTAATGCTGATTTTGAAAATCAAAGTAAAATACATGCATAAGCACTCGAAAAGTGATACCTCTTCACTAGGCTTAAGCCTTTATGTTTATTCTTCATAGAAAATTGAAAATATGTTTAAAAGCCAAAATTATGATAACCAAATGGTAAAGGTTTCCTAGTACTAAAACTGAAATGTAATATGTCACACAGTGCTATTAGAATAGAATGGTGACTGATTTATTTATGGACTTACTATTTTAAACTGAAGTCATGATTGGAGAATTTTAACCACAAAAATCAACATTGTTATTCTGTTTACACTTTCTTCTACAATATGCGGCCCACTGAAGAAAAAATTCAGTTGGTCCCCCTGAAGTTCATGAATTACTGAAGCAGTAACAGCAATGAAGGTTCAGAAGATGATACTAATTTCTTAAAATAAGAGTACTAATTCATAGTACCTTTTTCTCTTTGTTTAACACACTCCTGGGTAATTCAGGTCTCTTCACAACACCAGCATTTCATGCTTCTAATATCATTAGTTGCTGCTACTTTGCTGCATCCACCTTTGGCTTAAATCCTTAAATTTTTTTCTTTCCTTTTCTGAGACAGAGTGTTGCTCTGTAGCCCAGGCTGCAGTGCAGTGGTGTGATCTCAGCTCACTGCAACCTCTGCCTCCCGAGTTCAAGAATTCCCCTGCCTCAGCCTCCTGAGTAGCTGCGATTACAGGTGCCCACCACCATGCCCAGCTGATTTTCATATTTTTACTAGAGATGGGGTTTTACCATGTTAGCTAGGCTGGTCTCGAATTCCTGACCACAGGTGAACTGCCTGCCTTGGCCTCCCAAAGTGCTGGGATTAAAGCTATGAGCCACTGTGCCTGGCCTAAATCCTTAAATTTTGAAATACAGAATGAGGCAGGAAATTGGGCCAAAAAGGATACACGTTTCTTCATACACCTGAATAGTAGCCATGTCACCCTCCAATCGAATAATCTCTCCAACCAACTCGCTGTGGCCCACTCTCACCAGCTCATACATGGCTGCACCCGCCATGTCACAGGCTGTAACCACTGAAGAGAACAAAAGACTATTTTGATGACTTAAGACTCTAGTGCTCTTTGAATAGTCACAAATGATTAAAACACCCAACAAGCCCAATAACATACCTCTCTCATAGATTCATAAAAACGATAAAAACCAACTATGGAATATACTGGTAGTTTCACATAAAGATATATTTTTAGTACATGATATAAAAAGGTAAGCCAAAGATTTTTTATTTACATAATATACATGAAAAATTTTCAAACATTTCAAGTTTTGCATGGCAAACTTACCTGGTAGGATTCAGATATGTTCTGGGAGTTGCTATGATACACGGGGTGAAGGCTTTGGAACAATAAAGAAACTTTTAAAAGTAGAAATTGGAAGCCGGGTGCAGTGGCTAATGCCTGTCATCCCAGCACTTTGGGAAGCCAAGGTGGGCGGATCACAAGGTCAAGAGATCGAGACCATCCAGACCAACATGGTGAAACTCTGTCTTTACTAAAAAAAAAATTAGCTGGGCATGGTGGCATGTGCCTGTAGTTCCAGCTACTTGGGAGGCTGAGGCAGGAGAACTGTTTCAACCCGGGAGGCGGAGGTTGCAGTGAGCCAAGATTACGCCACTGCACTCCAGCCTGGCCCCTGGTGACAGAGTGAGACTCT